TGGGCGCTGGCGGGGGGGGGGGGGGGGGGGGGGGACAGCAGTCAGCAGTAAGAAGCTCCTCGCAGCACGGGGAGGGGGGCAGGTGGACCCAGACCTGCCTGCCAGATCCCTCTGACGCACGGGGGGCCCCGCTGGCTGCCGGTCGGGCCACACACCCTGCCCCGGTGTCGACGTGGGGGAGGGGCGCCAAACGGCCACCCAATCACTATGATGGCTGGGACCTACGGGCCACATAAAGGAAGGGGCAAATAAATTAGTTTTAAAGGCACACGGCCTGAATTAACCTCGTATTTTAAGCTTTGCAGCGCAATCCGGCCAGCAGGGAGTGACCCTCCACAGAGGAATGTGCCACAGAGGGTCCACCGCCCCCCCCCACCAAGCCGTTTGAGGACAAGTGAGACTTAATAGCTTAGGCCAGAGGGTGCCACCTCAGCCCATCATGCACATGATCTCCGGGGGGGGGGGTGTTAACGGTGCTGGCCGCTTTGGGGAAATATGGCCGGGGCTGGGGTCACGCGGTGTTAGTGGATGCCACCTGAGTCTGGTGAGCAGGTTGGGGGGGGGGCGGCGGGCACCAGAGCCTGGGGAGAGCCTCTCAGCTGGCCCACACGTCTCCTCTCCTCTCCCCTCCCCTCTTCCGTCTGTCTGTTACCCTGCCAGCCTCTTCCCTTTTCACAAGTTCCTTCTCTTTTTCACTCTAACCAGTGTTACTTTCCCCTTCTACACCAACATCACAAGCCTGCCGAAAACACCTCCCCCCCCCCCCCCCCCCCCCCCCCCCCCCCCCAACTGGGCGATTACTGCCTGTGTGTCAGTCCCTCTTGCGTGCTGAGACTGCATCCAAAAAACATAACAGGCCACATCCTCTGCGATTCCCCCCCCTCCCCGACAGAGTGTGTGCGTGATGTGGAGGCCCCAGAAGACGGTCCCAGCATCCTCTGGGGGGGGGGGGGCGGGGTTCCAGGAGCATTCAAACCGAAAGCTTGTCGAGTTCCTCCTGGCTACAAAATTGAGGTAGAGCTGATAAAGACAGACCACAAAACAACAGGCAGGAACGGAACCGGCTCCGACCGACCAAGACCGCCCCCCAGCGCCCAGCCCGCCCTTCACCTGCGGGGACGACAGACTCACCAGCATCTCATCTTTGGTGAAAATGTCATGTCACAACATCACCCCCAGGACCCAGTATCTCACACTTTATCACTCTTTTCTGTCACAGGCAGACCACCCCCCAGCATGGACGGCGGTGAGATGCTTCGCGCACGTGGGAGAAGATGGCAAAGCTGAGCGGCCGGCAAATAAGGAGCTGGCGAACCACAGGAGAGCGAACGCAGGCGTGGGGGGTAAGAGACAGACCCCTTCTACCTCAGCCATGAGCTGCGGAGTCATCCGGGCACCTATCAGACGATAGCAGTAAAGGCACTGGACCATCCCACAGCCACACACACACGGGGGGGGGGGGGACCGGCACTCTATACGGTCACCCCCGAATGCAGATGTGCCATAGACACCACAGGGCCCCACTGACTGAGCAGGGAGCCAAGCAGGCCTATGCAAGACCACAGGGGTGGGGTGAATTTAAAAAAT